GTAACTTTAGGTCTCTTAATTAGAAAATACATTTAATGTGAAATGTTCTGAGCAGGACTAGCTGAACATAATAAATAATAATAATAAAGTTATGAGTCAGTTATATCTAGACCAAGCAGGGAATGGTGATGCACATAGAAATTTTGCTGACATAAGTTGTTACAACCTACATGACACACTCGGCCACTGACAGACCCGCCAGCGTAGGTGCAAAGACTGTATGTTCACACTAGGTAGCAGCCCACCTGTGCTCTGCTCATGGCTTGGTCATGGCTTCGTAGGTATGGTTCCATCTGGAATATATACCGACCTTCTCTTTTATGTTGGAACTGAGATCTTTTGTGTCTTAAGTAACTGGTTTTTGCATTTCATGATTCAAGGTATGCATAACCTTTTATTAGAAATGATGCAACAAGAAATGGTTCAGTAAGTAAAAATACCTGAGATAAGGTGTACTTCAAACTTGCTGTGGAGAGACTGTGAAAGATTAAAACATTGATAGAATAGAGGTGGATGAGTAAAATAAAATAGAGGCATGAACCAGCATCATTAGTCTTTTCTTTCAACAAGGCAAAAAATCCAGGAAGCATCATAAACTCTTTTGGCCAAGGGCCCTGTCTTTATTGTGAGTAGCACGACATTCACAATTTAAATAAAGGTGAAAAAAAAAGAGAGGGACTCATATTGGTCTCCCAGGAACACTTTATCACTTGAGATTATTGTGTTTGACTTAAAGTAAACCAAACATATTTAAGAAATCCCAGCAACTTAAAATTGATATTTGACTACACTGTAGTCCCAATTAAAAATACAATTAAACCCCCTGAAAACAAAACACTTACTGTATAGGAAAATGCTAATATTTCAGTATTTCTGTGTTTGTAAATGTAGACTGAGCAATCATTTTGTCCTTTTAGTCGGGGGGGAGATGAAGGCCAATATCACTTAAGATTTTTAAATAAATATTGAGAATGGTACTTATGGTCCCACTTGACAGTGGATTTTCTAATATTGTACTTAGAGACTCCCCAGAAAAAGCACTATTGTATTTTGCATTGAGAATTTGAAATCGACAATGCAACATAGCAAATAAAATTTAAAAATTAGTCCAGAATTTATTTGATAAAACCTGAATTTTGTTAGTCTTTTATTTTTCACTTACATGCATTTGTCGACATCCTTTGGACCAAGCCTGTGGGCACTGCAGCACTCAGCCTTCAGGTTCCTCGCTTGCACAGCCCTGAGTTGGGTGGTTGAGGCCTCAGAGGTTTAAGTGCACTGAGTGTTTTAAAAGTAGTTGACTTCTTCCTGTCCCCCCTTCAGCGAAATGGTATCCTCATTTAAAAGATCAGGAACTTATTATAGTTATATAGAGTATTGAGATTAGGAATTGTGTCTAAATATGGCTAAGATACTAGAAGCTTCAAAATTGGTTGTGTTAAAAATATTTGTAATGCACCTATATTCAAATATTTTTATTTTATTTTTTAATTTTATTTTCTTCCTGTAAAACTTATAATGTATTGTGACTTCCAAAAATACCTTCAAAGCTGTGGCAGAATCTTCAGACTTTGAGTAGAAACTTTGATGACAGGTGATGCTGGGTTTCCTCTTTACCCTTCACACCAAAGCAGGCAAGTTGTGATGCATGAAAGCATTTCTCTCTGTGTCAAATCATTGCATCCCTGTGCAAAACTGTTGTGTTTTCTTGTTCTGGTATCATCATGTCATCATGACTGCCATGATGTATCATCATAATAGGTTATGTTATCAGCATAATATGTAGGTGGCTCTTACTGTCATGTGTTCTGTACTCATTCAGCACTGACATGTGAAAGTAATGAAATACATCTATATGCGGGAGGTTTCCAATCTAAAATAATAAGCCCAAGTTATTTTTCTGAATTTCGTCTGCAGGTACACTTAGATGTAAAGATTGATGCTGGAAATCCTGCATATAACTGGATGAACAAATAAACTCATATGCTCATCATGTTTACACATTTATTTTATTTTTTGAAAATTAATCAAATATCAACTTTTCATGATAGAAAACTTCCAGGAAGTATTGGTTGTAAAGGTAGAATCATATTCAACATTGCTGTAGAAGTATAATCTTATGAAATGCTATGAAATGTATGTTTAGTGCATGTGACTATAACTGATATAATAGAACTGAATTCAGTTACACCCACTAGAAACTGTAGTCTAAGATAGTATAAAGTGTTCACTTTTTCACTTCAAAACCTGATGACAGTAGTCAAATGTATTTCTCTCTTTCAAGTACCCAGCACCCAGAATAAGGCGCTCTTGATGCAAACAAAATCAGTTAGTACATCTGCCTTGAGATACTGATTTGCAAAGGTCTGTCAGTTTTTCTTATAACTGATACACATAATATGGTACCTATTTTTGGACAATAGTAAAATAGACCTGATTGAAGTCTGCAGATTTTTAATAAAGATCTCAAATGGAACACCTTGAATAATCGGGGAGAACCACTGCGTATGATTTCTGGTTTAGAGGCCAATTAATATCCTGGTCTGTTTGACTGCAGTTGTCAGTGTCAGTAAACACTTAAGAATCAATCCAGATAATATTTCTTCATTGCTAGTAATGCCCCAAAATCATGATGCTCTGTTTTACTGAAAAGCATGCGTAGTATCTCTGTAATTTACAGATCATGTCATAAGCTATCAGCAGTGTTTTTTGGAAGAAAATTTAGAGTTTACCCCTCTCTGCATTTTAGCATTTTGCTCTAGGCTTGGAAGCATCAAGTGCATTTGGACGTGAAGAGGACATTCTAATCTATATTGAGAGTGTGTGGGAGTGAACCTAGAAAAAAAAAAAAAAGGGGGATCAGGTTAATACATTCAATGCATAATGCTAATCTCTTGGATGGAAAAGTTAACATGCAGATCGAATTCCCTTCTACTTCTATTTCTTTTTAAAGAACAGATGTGGATTCTGACTCCTGTCACCACATTTTATTGTTCTTCAAGTATAAGGGACAAGAGATTATACTCTTTATTTTTTTAAGAGACCAGAGAGATAGACTGGCTAGCTTGGTGTTATTTTCTGATTCCTGTATCATGATATATCAGAGTTACAAGTAGGATATCTTTGCTAATTAATTAGTTACTCTAGCCCTTTGTCTCTTCTGTAGCTTTTGTAAGAATGAGAAGAACCTCTTTTTCTTGCTACTCTGGAAATTGTCTATTGCTATTGGTGGCATATACATATAACCTCACAGTTCTGAAGTAAGTGTGCTGTGGGAGCCAGCAAGCAGCCCTGACTACTAAACATCAGAGTATGTTATTTTGAAGAACCACTCCTCACCTGATGGAGTTTCCTGCAAAGCCAGCCTTCATTGTCTTGTTTGCTCCACTGGAAAACTTCAGCTCCTCCATGCTCTGGCAGATTGGAACTTTGGGGCCAGGTCCAGTTTGGAACCACTGACCCTGTTTGTTGGGAAGGCCAATAAACAATGGGAGTGACTTTATAACCATGTTTTGTAATGCTAGGTGGAGTTTAAACGTAAGAAGGAGAGTTATAACTCATGAGAACATAGGAAGAATCTGATAAGCAGGTCAGGAAGAAGTCAAAGTTGTAAAGATTTGTAGTTTTGCTGTCCAGAACAGAAGCCTGCTTTCATGTAAGCCTTTGAAATAGAATTAAAAAAATCTCACGGGGCTTTTAAATGCTGCTCAGTTGGATAATTGTTTGGTACATTTTTATGTCTGTAAACTTATAAATGCAAGTCATTAAATATGAGATTTTAAAGAAAAAACCCTCTTATATATTGATGGCATAAATGCTCTTACCCTCTCAACCCTCCCAAACGTTCTAAACATAGAATTTTATGAAAAAAAGCCCATCCAAACATAGGGACACTACAGAACGACAGGCAAAATTTTGATCTCAAGAAGAATGCTAATAAATTACATGTTAACATTGCAGATACAACTAAAAATCACACTTTGGATCATGCCGTTGCCAGTCTGAAGTGTTAAAAATCATGGCTTAAAGTAATAAGGTTTTTCTATTTTTAACCTAGCATCAGTTTTGTTTGCTGTATGTATGTAGGTATTTTAGTGTTCACTCAAGTTTTACTGTCTAGCCTCATAGTGTCTATGGTAACTGAGTATTAATCTCACGAATCATAGAATCATAGAATAGTTAGGGTTGGAAAGGACCTTAAGATCATCTAGTTCCAACCCCCCTGCCATGGGCCCTGGGAATCTGAGGATCAAAAATTCTAAAAGAAAAATTTGAACTACTGTGCAGTTCTTCGGTTATTGACAGTGCTGAGATAACTGAAAGTAACAGCATAAGAAAGGAGAGGAAACCTCAGACCTATGTGTCAGTCTTGAGAAATATGTTATATTTCTGTAGTGATACATTATGGTATGCTAGTCTCTGTATTGTAGTGCTTTGCAAACAAGGTATTATTTTTCACATAATGAAATATTAGCATCTGAACTCAATTTCACTGTTTGTTTCTATGTAACTTCATGCTACAGTTACTAAAGGGCATTAAACTTGGGATAGTGAGAAAATATGCTTATGAAAATTCAATACACATCATTTTTTTTCCAGTATTTCTCCAAAGACTACATACTGCACAGAAAGTACAAATGTAGGTTCCCAGATATTACCTTATTTTTGTTTATTTAACCCTGGAAAGGAACCATTATTATATCTACTGGGAGCACCAACAGTGGGACCAAGCCCAATATGGTGGCACTTTGTTACTTTAAGTGTGCTAAGAGGCATAGTTGCTGCAGATTCAAATCTCTGTGTAAGGTTAATCTTTTAATGATAAATCTTGTGGAAATGAGCCTTTCCCCTGTTGAAGGTTTTTAGTATCTTAGTGACATTTACACGTTTAAAAATATTTCTTACTTCTTCGTATTTAGTTTGCTGGTGAATGCTAATTTTTACACTTCTTTATAACAAGCTATTTGTATATCTTTATAACCATTTGCTATTTCTTTCAGATGTGGGAAGGAATATTTTCAGTGTAGTGTATTGACATTTCTTCACAGTCCAAAAGAATTGCCTTGAGATGCATCTTTCATAAGATTAAACAAATTAAAAGGTTGATCCCAAGTAAAGAAATGTATTAAGCTCCTTACTTTCATCCATCCTGAATCATTTTAATATATGTATATTTGCATGTGAACGCTGCTGAATTGTCGTTCCGATAGAATTGTTGATATAAATAATGCCAATCACTGTCTAACTTCTACTTTATTTGTAGCTAGAGAAGCCTCACTGGAGAAACACAAATTCCTATTTAATTGCCATAGCATTTTACGACAGAGATGAATCCATTAATGAATCATTCATTGCTGTGAACTGATAGGATTTCTGAAATGTCGTATAATCTGAAATTGCCATCTTGAAAAACAAAAGATGAAAAAATCTCCTGTCTTCAGAACAATGACTATATATAAAAAAGAACTTCCCTGTTTGTGTTGTTAAAACCTCTGCTTGTTAGAGGGTAATGATGACACTTGTACTATTATGTTTACATGTGTGGTTATGTACTGAAACACTTTTGGCACTCATAGGCTGCAATGACAGGAAAGCTAGTCATGTTTTCAGACATGTTAGAGGTGGTGAGACAGCCTTGTACTGGGAGAGACTAAGTTGTGGGTTTGCCACATTAAACAAAGGGGAGCATCCAAATGTCCTCAAGTAGGTACCAAGGAGATGCAGCAAACTTCAATTCAGAAAGAAGGATGGAAGATTGCCAAAGGACAGAGATTCCAGCTCAGCACCTCTGAGTTGTTCCCAGAGGTGTTGTAGCTGAATAAGTGTTTAGAGATATAGGTATAAAGAGAGGAGAAAGGGAGGAGCAAAGGGCAGCACCTGGCTGGAAGGGGAATGAGAAAAAAAATATCTTCAAAAAATAATTTAAATAGGGAAACACTTGGAAGCTTGGGGGCATCCCAGTTTTACAGCATCCTATTCCCAGATATGAGAAACTGAGAGAGTCTCATCTAACTTTCAGATAAATCTTCATTTTAAATGTGCAGATCAGAAAATTAAAATCTCCTGCCTGATAGTTGTATACGTGCCTCTGTAAGATATAAAGATATGCTTTTATTTGTTTTTGCAATGTTAGACCTTAAAAATTTACCAATTATAAAGAACGGGTTCTAGTTACTCATCTTCTTTTCTGTAACCTATTTTGATTTCTTGACTTGCACATGTAAGCAGAAATCTAACACACCAGCTCAGAGCTAGTGGAATTCTGGATTTAGTGGCTTTTCTTTTTTCAGGAAAATGTCAGGGAGAGGACAAGGTTTTGCAGCTAATGACAGAATAGAACTAGGCCTTTAGTTAGCATGCTCTCTTTGTGGACACTAATACTGTGAATGCATTTCAGACTTCTATGTTGATGCTCTTAAGTACATCACATAGAAGAAAATCCATCAAGCTTTGAGTTTTGAGGAACTCCTACATGGAAATCTCAGCTATATGTCAAGGTTGTCACCTCAAAAGCTGGCACCTCCTCAGCAGACAAATGCATCGGAGGCCTAACACTGGGAGGGGCAGCTGTACAAGTGCAAATTGTTCTAGTTCAGACTCTAAATCTGACCTTATATATTAAAAAGAGAAAGGAAAGTCAAGACGAGGAAGGGAACTCTTTAAAATAATTAGCCCAGAGCAACTCTCCAAACAGTGATGTTCTGCTTTCCTGGAAGATATTTTGCTCAGCTTTGCACTGAATGAAAATGAGGGGATCTTTGGTAAAGTTACTCATCTTTTCCCTTTTCTAATGGATATGGAGAAGTCCTAGAGTAAGAGTCCAAAATCATTTCAAAAACCCCCTGCACTCAAACTGAAACCTAACACATAGCAAGAGACAAAAAAAAACCCCATTAAATAAGATATAAAATGTAAAGATTCCCAGTTTTGATGATATTAAATGATTGTGTAAGGGAAAGAGAGAATAAGAGGGGCCAGGAAGAAATTAGGGAGTGTATTAATACCTCATTAGTGTGTATTTGTGTCTGCTGCCAGCTTGAATTGGTGAAGGACAGAGAAGCTTACTTATTTGACTTTTGCAGCTTACCAAAACCACAATTACTATTTAATTGTTCTTTCCTGTTCTATATACAGGCATAGCCAAGATGAAGCTTTCCTTTCCCCATGTCTTCAGGTTGTGTTATAGCAGAGACCCTACACTGCAAGGAACTGCCTTTTGAAAGAACTCCTGTTTGGTGAGATTTGGTTGGGACGGTGAGGTTAAAATAATCCTGGGCTCTGAAAATTTGATAGTCAATGTAATGTATTAAACAAAAAGGCCACACAATTCTACAGGAGCATTCTACCAAGGTTTTACCAACACTGTTATCCTCCCCAGTGAATAAAACAGCTTGGCAGCTCTGTAACTGATGGTCTGGTGTGAGAATATTTTATATCATAATGTTCTTACAAACAGCTCAAATTTTTGGTAGTAAACCATGGACCATATTAACTACTGAGTATTGAGACATCCCAGGAAATTGCATTTCTCAGAGGCCAAAGTTTCTAGTATTACAGTGGTTTCTGAAAACCTAGTCAAATGCAGATGTTGTTTATGCATTAACTAATCAGTTAGACTGGCTTTCTTGAAGGGTATAATTGGGAAAAACAGTTGTTTTGTCTGGATTTTTTTTATGAGTATCTTGAACATCAGAAACGATACAAGACTCTACAGATGTTAAAATCATATCTTAAATCAATGTGGGCTACTTGAGGACTTTTTATGTTTATTTTTTTTAATAAATGAGTCTTAGAAAAGGCATTGAAAATAAAAAACCCCTACATTGGTTTCCAGACTGTCTGCGTGTGCTTACATTCCATCTTCTGTACTGCTGTATTTTTGTCTATGTAGTCTTTAATTGTTTTTTCTTTTTCATCTGGGAATTATTTTTTTTTCAACTTTTGTGCAGTTTTTATTTATCAAAGAATTGCAAGTATCTACTGGGAAAATCCCCTTTCCTTAAAATTTTCTGCAAGTCCTTATAATAGAAACCTGTACAAAGCCAAGAAGCCCCCAGAACTGTTCAGAAATCATAATTTCTCAGTCTGTCCTCAGTTCAGCAGTAGCAGTCATTTTTCTCCTTCTTAGTAGCTGGTGCAGTGCTGTGGTTTTGACTTTCAGCCTGGGAACAACGTTGATAATACCGATGTTTTTAGTTGTTGCTAAGTCATGTTTACTCTGACCAAGGACTTTCTGAGTCTCATACTCTGCCAGGGAGAAGGGGAAGCTGAGAGGAAGCAGAGACAGGACACCTGACCCAAACTAGCCAAAGAGGTATTCCATACCACAGCACGTCATGCCTAGGATGTAGAACTGGGGGTAGTTACCCGGAAGAGCTAGATCATTGCTCGGTCGGGCTGGGTATCGGTTGGCAGGTGGTGAGCAGTTGTATTCTCTTTCCTTGTTATTTCCCTTAGCATTATTATTACTGGTGGTAGCAGCAGTGGTTTTGTGTTATACCTTAGTTACTGGACTGTTCTTATCTCAACCCGTGGGAGTTACATTCTTTCAGTTCTCCTCCCCATCCCTCCAGGAGCCAGGGAGGGGAGAAAGGGGGGGAGTGAGAGAGAGAGCTGCGTGGCTGAGCTTAAACCATGACACAGTCTCTTACTTTGCTATACTGTGAGAGACTGATCTGAAATCAGACTCCTCTGTCTGACGATATCTCATGATACTTTGAAGAGTTATGGTACAAACCTACCTCTTGGCTACCAAATTGGACCTGGTTAAAGAATTTCCTTGTAATAATTTTAATAACAATTATTTGTGTTTGTATGCTAGCAGGCATGACTCAATGTTGCTGTTCACAATGGTGTTTCAGAATTAAATATAGGAAAATGAGATGAGTCCTACAGGATATATGTGTATCCTGTAAGCCTCAAAGTGAGGAATTGTAAGCTGAAATGCTAAGTTGTAAATTAAAACCACACTCTTACTTGTAAGCTGTAAATTGGGACCCCTCTGTTGAGAGCAAGATGGGGCTGGCTCTTCAGTGTAATGAATAAATCAGAACAAACTGACCTAAACTGTGGACATAGTTAAGTAATTCACAGAAGTCTTTTGTACGTGAGCAAGCACAGAGGTTAATCAGCAAACACAGGAAGACTATCGATGACCACCAGAGACCCCTTAAGACCACCACCCAGCAAGGAAGCATATGTGTGATTAAAATGCAAATATTGTAATTCCAGGAAATCTAGTGAATATTTGTAAACAAACTATTGGGTCCCCAGGTGGCTCAGTCACTTGGGAGGCTTTGATAAAATATTGTAACAAATTATAAAGCATTGCAGACTGACTACTTGGAACCCTACTGAATTGGTCAGCAGTGCTTGAGAGCGTATTTATAACTTAAATTGCATTATTTGGCTATGAATGAACTATGCCCTTGATCTGTTAGCAGATCAGGCCAAGAAAATGCAGGCAGCAATATTTCAATATTGCATGGTTCTCGACTACCTGCTAGTCATGGAAGGAGGGGTTTGAGACAAATTAAATGATGCTAATTGTTGTTTGAAAATTAATAATGGTAAAGTAGCAAAACAAGTTGCATCTGGAATTCAAAAATTTGGCTCGTGATCCTGTCCAAACCTGGAAAGGATGGGAGTTCAACCCTTTTTCCTGGCTTTCTGGAGGCCTATGGGTTAAACAAATTTTACTCTGTTTGTTATTTGGCTTTTTCAATTTTTTTTTATTTTGTATTAATCCTTGTCTCATTCAATTAATTTGGAGTGTTGTAGCAAATGTGCAATTTGTAATTACTGCCTCTCCTGACTGAAGTAAGCAAATCAGATTAACATGTCCACATAAACCATTAGTTGTAGAAATAAACCACTGCTCTTTTCATTTCTTGGCCTCTTTTGCACTATCTCTTTCCTAAAACCACCTGTATCTAAATCTTTGAGACACTGGGTGGTGTGAAGGACTGATCTGAAATCAGACCCCAGTGTCCATTGTGTCAAAGATTGGTCTGAGAAGCTGAGATGGAAATCCACCTAGCCACCTAAGACATTTGTGTCTTAATTTCACTCTTGGGAATCACAAACTGAACACTGAAATGGCACTGGGTTTTTTCTTCCTGACATATACCTTATCAGTTCTAACATGCTTTTAGAAAAAAAAAAAAAATTGGTGTTCCTTTTAGGTCCTATTTTGACTTGAAACTGAAAGTGTTTCTATTTTTCTAATTTAAGATTCTTGGATTGGTTTTGGTCACAAACTGTTTATGCAGGGAGCTGTAATACATGATATTTCAGATAGGTTTGTTTACCTGCTTTACCGCACATTCTTTAAATGTTTGTGGGTTTATTTGCCAGTAATATACATATTCTGTCAGAAAAGGGAAAATTTAAAGAAAACTTAATAAGTACATCTGCCTT